ACTGTGCATAATTGTGAAAACCACACTTGCTGCTCCTTTAGTGATGGCATGATCCATTGCAAAGGCAACAGAAGCTACCGTGGTAAAACTTAGTGTGGCATATTCTGGTCCCTGTTACAAATGAAAAATGAAGCTTGTTCTGGTGCTAACGTACCTCTCTCTGGCTTTACCAATGCCTGCTTAGCAACTATGCTCTACTGTGGACAAAGGATCCTGGGCACCAAATCCTGCAATGACTTGAGCCCAATGTAAATCCAATTGACTTCAGGGGCCTGAAATCAGCCACTGAAGGAGATGAAATGGGATGAAGAACTTCTCACCTCTACGCAGAGGACTCAAATCCAGCCCAGGCTGGCAGAGACTAAAACTAGCTTCCCTGCTCACAACTATTTAGTGACATTTATGAAATGGAGACCTATATGTACAATGGTCCACTTCACTGGTGCAGGATGAAAGTCCAAATGGAAACAGGTCTAATTCACTACTCCAGGGGGACTGTATGTACTGCACTCGTGAGCTAGAAGGATTTTCTATAGAGTAGGAAGGAGACTTCCATCCCAGTGGCTTATTCAATCCTTCCTTTGTGCTTGTCTTACCAAGGTAGCATATAGGGACAGCAGCTATGTTCCAGGGTAGTAGTATTTTTTATGCAAAATTTTGTGCAAGCCACTAAACTGTCAAAAGGGGCAACAAATGTATCTACACCAGGCTGCATTGGAACCATCAGCCAAGAGGAGATGAAAGGCTCTTTCTACCACCTCACCTTCTTCTGTGGGATGATGCATGCCACAGACTTTTCCTGAGCCTCAGATTTTAGGCTGCCCCCATGCCTTTTGCCTGGTCGCACTGCAGATTTAAATCTGAGTAAGGCATTTATCTAAATTAGAGCTATGCATCTTTATTGTGTGAATTTCAGGGGCAGTAAGTGGTCCAGGACACCATTCAGAACTTGGTCTGAGAGGAGTGATGCAGGTAAAAATGACTGCACTGGGATTCAGCAAGGACCAAGTCCTAGGACCAAGCCAAACTGGAGAAGGGCACGTCAGGGTTAGCTGCTGGAATTCAAGTGCTGCCTGGAGTTGGACATTGCTGGTTGTAGAGCAGAGCAGCATTGCAAACCTTTCCATTACTCCTGGGCTCCTTCTCACTCAATCTTCCAAGAGGAAACAAGGTTATGAAATGTATTATATTAATAAACACCTTGATGCTTAACCAGATTCCAAGCTATAGATCCAAAGGAGAAGTGAGGATTCATTTTCCTGGAAGTTAACTAAATATGGATAAATATTTTAAATATGGTGCTTATTCCCCCTATAATGACATGTTTCTTTTTTGAAGGGACACTTTTTTTCAAAATCCAATGCACTCCTCACTGTTTCCAGTGCTGTGTGGTGGGTGGGCGGTGGTGTTTTTTCCCCTCCCTATTTTTTCCTTAGTTCAGCTAATGATACTAGAATGGTCCATTTCAGTTTGGCTTTGGGTGAGGTTCAGTTTCTCATGCTCCCCCACCCTGCTAATGAACGTGAGTTCACAATACGGCATTATAAAACCTTTGTAAGTGGCTTTCATTGAAATTTGGGAAACAGGAACCTGTAAAATGTATTTCCATGCTAATTATGCAATGTGTTTGGCTTGTTTATTTGTTTTGCTTCTTTTTAAAGAACAATTTCTACATTCTGAACCTGAATTTACATGGCATTCGGTACTGCTGACGTGGCACGGGTTCTTGTTTTGTGTGAAATAATTCACTTCTTCTAACTTCTAAGAAACCAGTCCTGGGAATGCATTCATAATTCCCATCCTACAGATGCTTTATATTTATGCTTAGCTTGATCTTCTGGGAGTTCAAGTATTTTATTTAGGCACGTATGTGTAAGATTTTGCAGATCAGGGCCTGAGCCTGTTTCATTTCAGGTTCTAGGGCAGGGGCAGGCAATTATTTCGGGTAGAGGGCCGCTTACTGAGTTTTGGCACGCCATCAAGGGCCACATGACAGGCAGCCCAGGCCAGATTAATATTAATTTTCTAAATTTTTTAGGGGCCCCGTGGGCCGGATAGAATGGCCTGATGGGTCACATCCAGCCCCCAGGTCGCATTTTGCCCCCCCTGTCCTAGGGAAACTGCTGTGCTGCTGAAGAATTGGGAATGGCTCTGTTAATAACATACAAATCATATATGTACATATGCTTTTAGCTCCACCGTTCTTCAGCACTTTTTCTCCTCTCTTGCTCTGTCTCTTTGATAAGATACCTCCCCACCTGGGCTGAAAAGCCACCTTTTGTTCTTTTCCTGATGGTGGATTTCTTGGATCGGGAAGGTTTAGTAGAATTGACGCTGACTGGTTTTGGAAGGGATATGCAAGTATAGGGCAGGAAGGAGAAAGGTGTGTTTTATGCTTTAAAGACTTCTCAGTGACTAAGAACGTAATCCTGCTCCCAAAACTTAGAACGGGTCCCTGCACGAATGCTGCAATCAGCCTGTGCAAACGAACTTGCATTGGGTTAAGGCTGAAATTGCTCATCTCTTCCCAATTATCCAGATGTAGAGGTGCATGCACATACTTCTGTTTGCATGTCTGTTCATTTCTCTTAGTCATATGTACCGTCTCCTCTACCTTGTGTACAAGAACAAAGAAATGTGAGATCATCCAACTTATCCAGCAAGTAGCTGGATCCACTGTGTTTGTTATGATTTTTCATTGCTCAGGACTTTATCCCATAAAACAAACAAGGAAATTAAATGCCAAGACTTCAGAGCAAAGGTATTCTAGGTTTTTTATACCTACAGAACTTGGATGAGGCCAAACCAAAATTCCAAGAAGCAACCATAGCTCTGCCAAAGTGCAGGCATATGTTAAGGAGGAAAAGTCCAAAACAATGTGTTGGATTATGGTGGGGAAGGGATGAGTTACGGCAGAAACCATGGTTTTGGGCCACATGATGAGGTCTTTATGGGAGGCAAAGCTTCCATCACTTGATTATGGTCCCTGGAACCCGGTGCTTGGCATTTCCTGACCTGCGTGCACGTAACGCGTCTCCTACAAACCTGCCATGCAGCCACTGCAGGTGTTTGGATGTCTGCAAGGAGGGTGCCCATCCCTGATGGATACACTTTGGGGGCTGACTGTTTTCAAAGGATCTGACCACCCCAAACAGCCACAAGGCAGCTGTGAGTTGGGATGCTCTGCAAGATCCTCCTGCGGGTATCACCCAAGGAGTTTGGAAAAGGGCAGTGGAAGAGGGCCTTGACCTTGCTGCAGAGCTCAGCATCCTGCAGGACCTGCCTGGTGCTGCAAACCTGGTGGTAGGAGGCATCCCGTCTTTTTGTGCTGAGCCACCATCAGTAGCTGCTTTTTAAGAGAAATGAGATCTTGTTCCCCCCTGGCCCGCTGCAGCTGTCCCGCTGCACTCCCGCCGCAGCCTCCCTCCCTTCGGGGAGCCCCGTGTCGCTGCCCTGCCTCCCCGGGCCGGCTGCAGCGTGGACCCTGCCCCCTGGAGGCAGGTTCCTCGCTCATTAGCCGGCTGTTTGCTGAAACCGGACACCTGGCGCGCTGGAGCCAAAGCAGAGTCCCCGGCTGCTGCTATTTAAAAGGACAAGGGCAGCCCTTATGATTTTCCACCTCTCTTCACATCAGGAGTCTCCCCAGCTCCCTGCCCCTCCGAGCCCAGCGCCCGGTCCCCGGCCAC